AAGGTTTATAAAGAAAGTCAGTAACTTTGAAAAGGTTCTTCAGGGATTTTAAGTATCCTCTTTGTAATAACTTTTAGTGAGTTAAACACAAAGCACTTCAGATGAATAAAACTTTACTAATCTCTAGTGACCAACTCTATGGATAATCATTTTTAATTCTAAAGGATATGTGGAACTTATGAAGGATTGAGGAATAAGCAGTCAACTATATTCGTTCAGTATCGAAATGTAGTGGCGAAGTGAGAAAATAAGGATTAATAATCTCCTACCAAATGGTTGAATGTTATGTTAATATGGAGGTCGAACTGCCCTAGAAAACTAAGGGTATGCAATAGTGTGTAGTCTCAAACTCAAACTTAGAATAAATTTAGTGCGGTGTGGCTTTCACTGGTTCCATAGTTCAGGCCATTTTACAATGAATACCGTCCTTAAGTTTTTTAATGTTTTACTGAGCTCTAGCTACGTTTTGTCTCGAAACGGATGTTTTCATCCATCCACGTTACAATTTAGTTCTTACAACCTTTGACATGCAAATTATTAGGAGAGTGTTCTGACTCCCTAATATTTAGTATTGCATTATTGTCAGTTGCACTGAAGAGAGATTAAAGAAATGATGTACAAATACTACACCAGTGTATTATTTTAAGGAACCTGAATATGGTAGAAGAATGTAGAAAGAGGAAGAGAAAGGGAGAGTATTGAAAAGTGGGGAAATGAAGGGAAGAAGAAGCGAAGAACAGATTCTCAATGAATGAAGCTCATTAATTACGTCAATAAAAGTGAAATCAAGCCAGGAAATGAATGAATCAAACTTTTATAGACTGACATAAGTTTACATTGATCGCTCACTGGGGGGGGGGTAGTCAACTTCATGTTGTCTAGTCCAGTGTGGTGGTCGAATTCTATCGTTTTTCAACGTGGCCACCAGACTAGGTAGCTTAGGAGGTCAGTCTCGGCCTGAATAACTCAAAGGTAACGTCGGTGACGACAATACTGGGTAAGGTGGGTTCGAATCTCAGGCGGAATGTCAGTTCCACCAAGGTTGCAGAAGCGCCTTCCTGATGAGTGCCAACAAGTATAAAACGTAGGTTTAGGGCTTCCTGCCAATTGTCCCCATCCAAATAACTTCTGACATAAGTTTGTTTTAAACCATTCATGTGCACATGAAATTGTGGAACAGAATTGATTAGATCTTATGGATAATTGAGCTGATAAATGATTTTTATTAAGAACCCATGAAATAAAAAAAGTAGTTTTTTCCCTTCCAACATGTTAACTAACTTACGATTACGAATTTGCTATATCTCAATAAGGAGGAGCTGAGGTTGGATAATCTAGGCACCCGACTTTCAAACATTGTGTCACTAGCCTAAACTCTGTTCCATCTACTGAGATTCAAACTCTCAGATATTTTTATTAGCTGTCAGAAGGTAGGTGTACACTCATTGCAAGTACTTACTGATAATTTCAGTCATTTTCGTCATAATCAAATATCGAGTGATTATAAACTGTTCTAAACTTTTTTTGGGCACAGATATCAACATTATCTTTCATTGTTAGTAAACTTCAGTCTTTAGAGAAAGAACTAACAAAAATAGTGGGATTGGCAGGTTCTTTCCGTTGTCAAATATTACTTAAAAAGGCTAACTTGTTACTTTAAGAGAGTGATTTACATTCTACCAGATCTGAATTCTCAATTACCGCTGAAGTGCCATAGGATGCTTCAAGGTTACCAATGTTTGTTGAAGTTGTACTCCTATTAAGGAAGGTTTAGTATTTTTCATTCTCATCCCCAATAACAACTTAACACACAATATATCTGGATAACGACTGCTTATTCTGTCATTCATTGAATATTTCAGAGTATAAGACTTATGCACATGGTAACTTGTAGAAAGTGATATTTAAAAGTAAGTGCGCTAGAAGTATGCGAAGTCTGAAGACTGAACTTTCTAGCTGTCTACATAAAAATAGTATGAAACCATAGAATTTCACAGATAAATAACGAAGTGTGAAAGATATCCTTGTGAGAGATAGGTCTAACGCATTCTTGGTAACTATAAGATTAGGGGGTTTGAGTGGCCTAATACCATGGCTTGTCTTTTAACTTTGGTTATGATAAGCTTCATTTAGAGGAAAATTCCATATTCAATAGCCTCATAGTTATAACCTATACTAGGTTTAACTGTTCATTTAGTAGGTAAATTCGATGGTATTTGATGCAGCAGATTGTAAATAGATCCGAATTTGTCTGACAGTAAAAAGCCTGTATCATACGCGTCTTTGTATCATTGTATAATAACTCTTTTTAAAGAACCTTATGTACTCACACAGACGGAAGTACTAAAGTCGATAAATAAGTAATGAAAAGTTTCTGATCTAACAAGAGAGTGGTGTACAGTCTTGATGCTATGACAGTTTGTTTAAAGGTACTTGTTCTTCTCATGAAATTTAAAGTTTACCAACAATACGATTTTTAAAAATAATTTTACGAGCAGTTTCCTCTGTGAAAAGACTTTTAACTAGATTTAAGTGTTACGGTTGTTTTTGAAATGCTTTTTCTAAGATTTTCGACGATATTGTTTCTTTAGGAAAATGATTTCTGAACTAATTCTAGCTAAAATGGCGTCGTGTACAAATTTCCTTCTTTTTGGCGTCTTTGAGGTTGAGAATTGATATTTTTTGTAGGAAAGAGGATGATAAACAGTCAGATGAAGTATAATTCTAGGCAGGTGTTTATTCTAATGATAGACGGAATGCCCTACTGTTACATAATTTTCTTCCACGAAACATTAGATCATGTACAATCAATGTTCTAATCTTCCCATCTAAAAGAGTAAAATTATAGCATAAGACATCTGTTTGTATTTGCTTGAAAATACATTCAGCCAGTAATAACTCTTGGTATGAGGCCATGATTATTTCATCCACATGTTTTTCTGTAGATCTGGAGACCGAGGTCAATCAATGAATGAATTTTTGTTCATCAATTCAATGCTTAACACATTTAATACAATGATTCAACACAGATTCTAAATATACGGAAAATTCAACTACAATTCAAATGTAAGAATGAAAAAGCAGTAGAACTGTAAAAAGATAATCGAAAACATAAAGTTCTATGATTATCTAGATTTGATTATGAGTAATAAATTGTGCTCAAAATGTCACCCAGTAAATAATACTACCTTATTGTTTACTGTGTCAAACAGGGACAACACTTAACACATAGTAGGAATTCCATGTCTAAATTTCTGTAGACGTTTGTTATGAAACCTCTTTTAACATTCTTAAAATATACTATGAAATTAGTTTTATCAAACATTATTGTCTTCAATCAAAACCTTCATATCTAGCCAAAAAGGGTTATTGTATTAACTTGGAAAATTTTAACCTACTCTACAGGTAAGGAAGTATCCAGTGAGGTCATTTTTGCTACTTTTCACTTCAGAATTTTTTCAGAATCAGTAGTAACTATGGTTAGGTGTGTGCAGAGTTTAGTACATGTGAATTAGTATTACAGTAAGATTGTACAATTAATTTTTCTAAAGATTCATAAAGGAGATATGAAGTTTAATTCCACTGTGAAGTTATCCATTAGATGGTACTGGAATTTTTATCAATCAAAAACAAAACTTCACTATTTCCAGAATTAGTTTTAACTAAATTGAACACCAGTATTAACTTTAAGTGAAAAAAAGAGTTGATACATTTTGTCTGATATTTAATGACAGGTAAATAGATCACAATGATAAGCATTATTAAATAATCAACCTTACACTAAAGATTTCAAATATCATAGTCCGCAGTCATCAAATTAAACTTAAAATGAATCGAAAAGTAACCTATTTAAGATCAACAGTAGTTACTTCTCCGTCCTTGAAAATAATGGAGAAGCTAATCATACCTATGCTTGAATCTTCAAAAAAGGCTTTCGGAGATCCTAATCAATTTGCATATAAAAGCGAAAGAAGCACTCTGGATGCTATCACTGTTTTATATCACAATATTGTTTATAATCTTCATGGAAGTGCCAAGTATATTAGGTGTGCCTTTTTGGACCATACTTCAGCATTTGATTTTGTCCCAAGATCTCTTTTTCTGGACAGGCTAGTGGGGAGATACAGAGTCATGGATAACCAGCTGGTTGTATTCCTAGTTCTTTGGGAAAAAAATACTGTTCACAGAGGGAATCGCTCCACCTCATTCTTTACAGTGACTGCTGTTCCTCAAGGCAGATTTCTTTCACCCTTTCATTTCTCGTTCTCTCGGCATGACCACATCTTCACCTAGAATCCATTTTATCAAATATGGTGATGACTTGATGGTTTCCATACATGTCTCCTCTTCGACAGATTGAATGACTTCTATTTGTTCATGGCGAATGCTGTTGTGACTGATTTTCAGAATGTCAGAGACGGATATAACCTATGTAAACTGATTAGGTCTCATGACTCCGGTCATTTATAATGGCAAAAGTGTTAGAAACGAATTAACTAATTAACTAAATAAGCCTGGTGCCGTGAGGAAAAATGCTTAAGGATGACACTGGGTGATGGCCGCGGAACCTGAAGGTCTTGGGTTTGATCCCTGAGACTGCGAAGTCAGGGGTGCGCACTACTAAAGAGTCCCATACTAGGACGAAGTAGCTGTCATATGATCCCAAATTCTCAGGGGTTCCCTAAATGATGTCAGTTTCTGTGATGAATACTAAATTTACTAATCAACTTTCATTTCTAAAAGCAGACGATTTATGCATTATGAAACTAGTTAGTAGTGTAATTGTTTACCTAAGTTAATCTTGTATTTTCAGGAAAGTTGTAGATGGAGTAAGTATTCTCATATTTTATATACAATTTCTAGTTATTTAAACTGTTTCTATCCCAGTGCTTAAATATTTGATATGCTGAAAATTCTGCATAGTATTCCCGAAAATATCTTTCAGAATAAATTCACTAGTATCATTATTATTGTTATCAATAAAAAGACTATCAACTTACCGGTTAAAGTAACTGGACCAAATGCTGAAGCTTCATTATCTGAACTACAATTCCAGTGTCGAAATCGAAATTGTCGTTGACATTCATAAATGCCTAATTTAGCACCAATGCTTATCACAGGCATATGATCAAAGTAACGTTGACACAATTGAGCTTGTGAATGTGTCAAACCTTGAACACGTAAACAAAGAGGTTTTGGTGCTAAAAGAAATGCAGGACTTTGATGAATTGTTCTCCAGGATAAGAGACCTAAATTCCTAGATAAAAAATAATGAAAAGATGGAACTTGAAAATAATATCAATGATGATAATGAATATGATAAATTCTCATCTCATATGAATAAAGTTAATTCATACACAGGTACAAATAAATAAAACTACGTGGATAAATTAAATCAAGACTTGTCTTCAAACTTAATCCTAATACAGTTCAACATGCAGTAATATACATGATTTTGATTGTACAGCTGTAAGCAACAGTTTTACTACGATTCATATCAGACACAATCTATTTTCTTTTAAGGAGTTATAACTAATGACTGGTAGTACTCACGTACAAGGACTGATTGCATATAAGTTGTTCGGGATCTCTTTATCTTCATACTAAAACAAATTGGTGTAGTGTAACAGAAGATGATAAAGTTTTAAATAGCTTAATTTTTTTTATTACTTTCAAAGGATACAAATAAACTTTGATCGACTTTCAAGGAGGATAACAAGTAAAACTTAAGAAATATGCAAAATGGATTAATGCTGAAAGTTTTGGTAAAAGAGATATAAGTGATGTCTTATAAAAGCTAAGAAAGCGTTTCAATTGTAGCATATTAACAGTGTTTATTTGTCATTCGTTGGGGGTAGCCTTTAGTTTATCATAGGTCATGAGAAGGGTACGTTTGGGCATGTTCTTTTAGAATGCTGAGTTTAGGTATGATCAATCTTATTGCTACAGCTTTAACTATGTTGAGAAGAAGTTGGCAAGGCGCATGCGGCAATGTTTTTGCAAACTCTCTATGACAGTAAGAACAATATTAACACCTATGTGATACCTTGTGTTAATCAGATGTGGAAAGAGAGAACGTTTTGTCGTTTTGAATTCATCACTTCCTATCGAAGCCGGCAAATGTCGTATCTTAAGAAGTACCTGCCTAACCCTAGACACTGTGTTATTTGTTTTAAAGAAATAGTTAAATTAGCGTATTCATTCAGAAGCAACACGTTCAAATGTTACTCCTTCACTGATCTCCAATAAAATGATAGCTGTTCCCATCATCTTAATTTGTTATTTTTCTTCTTACTTTCTTTAGCTATCCTATTCTTCATAGGTATTCAAGTCAGTTTAACGCTGAGAAACTTAGAAAAAGAAAATTGATCTCGCTTCCGTTTGTAAAACACTTTGAGCGGCTCTAAAAGATATCCCAAGGACTGAAGTGATCCGAAGCTAAGATTGCTTATTAATGCTATAAAATAATAAAAGTATGATACATTAGACTGTTTGTTTTTTAATTGAACGTTTCAGTGGTATACCGCGTTTGACCTTACAAGTAAACTTCCTTAAGTGCTTTCTGTGACCATCAAACTGTGATACACCATGAGATGGCCTTTGGCTAAGTATAGTTAACAGGAATGTACGAGTAAGTTATGCACTTCAAAAGTCATTGCCTACGTCGAATGAACAAGAAACAACCAACCAACATGCTGTAGAACCCATGAATGATTGCGTAACTAATATAGCTGTCCAGTTTGGTGGAATACAAACTTGTACAAACACTCCAAGATCAAGGTAAGATTTGGATATTTAGTAAAGCTACTCAAACAGTTTATATTTTGAAACTATATTTGGTGCATATATTGAACAAATCAATTTTACGAATGTAGAACCTAATGAAAGTTTATTGTGAATAATATTCCTTGTTCAAACTGTTTGATTGGTGTTTAAACAAGATTTTAACCAACGAGTACAAGAACAGTGATTCTCTGAATAACTACGTGAGTTCATCGGATAGTTATCCAACGTATGATAATTTGCTTTGCTCAGTCATTTCTGAAATAGAATATCCTGACCTAGGTTTCATGCTCAATAGCATACATCAACAAGACGTAGGTAAAATCTTGAACAAATTAATGATCTGTTGATGATTCATAATCATATAATTTACTGCTGAACTAAGAAACTTTCCGGTGGAAAGATGACTGATTCTAAAACTTTGAGATCAGTTATGTCAAATGGCTCCTAATTATTTCAGCAGTAACACTCAGAAGTGTTCCCCAACGTAGTTATTTAATTACCAGTCAGATTATTACTTTTTTTAAGTGACCATTACAATCATATTGTTCTAAAATACTTGTTAAAACTATTCAAAAACACCGAAACGTCACTTATCCTTGAAACTTCATCTCTAGACAGAAACAACTTTTACCGAACCTAAGTAGTAGAGTTTTTTCTCTAGCCTTCCTCGTAACATACTCATCAGTGATGCAAAGGGAAGTGAAAAAGTGCTTATCGATTCTCAGGAAGGATATCCATTCCGTCCTGGTTTCAGATACACCATGTTGACGAGTACCGAAATGCACGTAATCTAGGTCTAATGTTCCCCACTGATTGCCTCCATCCATGGCTTCACGATGGGTAATCGCCTAACTTGATGGCCAAGTTGCAAAATAACTGATAAAATTCGGTCAGCACCATGGATTAGACAATATGAAGTTGGTTGCCCCACAGTGGCCAATGAATGTGTAAAATGCTTATCTCATACTACTTATTATCCCAGGTGTTATGTGTATGAGAGATTCATGAGTTTAGCTTCTTGTAGTTACTCGAGTAGGTCTTTGGATTCCAGTTTAAAGTAATCCTGTAAAGAGAGAGGAATTAAGTGTCTGATTATTGTAATGATACTTGTAATTCCTCATTGTTATAAAGGGCCGAATTTCCCAACCTCTGTTGGCAGATGGGCTCCTATGTGGATGTCTTGGTACTACTGGATATCGTGCCCCGGTGGCTTAGTGGATAACACTCTGGCGTTTTAAGCGGAGAGCACTGATGTGAGGGTACACCCAGCTGATGAGTCCCAAATAGGACGAAATGCGCTTCCTGGATTCTCCTGTTAGTCATCAAGATCAGTATAACTTTTAATTATTGATTGATTTATTCGAGATGGCGTTTGCAACCATAGTGATGCTCGTGAATATGCAAACGATGATTGCAATCGCAATAAAACATAGACTATAGGAGAATCTGAATTACCAGTTTCTGGGTTACTAGCTTCCTGCTCCCTATCATATTACGAACTGTTGCTACCACACATGCAGTTTACATAATTTAACATTTATAGTATTAGAATCTCATTTATTACACATGACATACATTTTTATTTGTTCATGTTCACTTTTTAGTACTCATCCTTGTGATCTTGGGTGGGTGTCTTCCAACAAAAATCCTACTGACGTCACAGCTGAGCAGTTGAAGAACTGCTCAGTTGTGAATGGAGATCATTCCATTTTTAAATTATTTTCAAATTTATTATCCTATTTTACCAGTCATACCAGTCAAGGCAAGTCATTTAGCCAGATTTAAGTGATCTAGACAATTTGGCTCTGTAAGCCGAAGTTTTTCGGTTATAGTGCTGACGAGCTCGGCCCCAAACGAACAAATCGACCATTTGGTGTTTAGATCACTCGATCTGCATGGTAAAGTAAATAGATGAGCCTAAGTAGTTTCTAACTACTCAAGTTGGTCTAGCAGTATATACTGATCTTAACTGAGTTTACTATTGATAATCCTGAAGTATATAATATAAACTACATTGGATGGTTTATTCAAGTCAGTTAATCACATTTCAGATACGAATATGAGAACTCGATCAGTATAAAGGTGAATATTATTCTCTCATCGGTCAGCTAACCTAATCCATACTCACTGGATGTGGGTGGCAACTTAAATACTTAAGTTATGAATCTGTTGAGCAGCGTTGATTGAATTTGTTGATGCAGCAGATGTTTTCTAAAGGTTTGAGACAAGCATTAAGCAATAAACTCATGATTTATGTCGAATATTCTTAAGAATCTTATTGCTTATAAATGAACTGTCCACTTCATATGGTCTAACTGTACTAAATTGTTATTATGAAGAGATGTAGTTCTACGATTTACAAACTTATCACCTGGGAACATAATAGTTTACTCTCTGTTGAATCACATGTATATGACTGGAACTTCTAAGTATGTCTAGTTAAATTCATCTGAATATTTGTTCTTTTAATTAAACCGTGCTGTTCCCTGTTAATTAAGTTAATGTGACTGAAAAAGTTCTCTTCAAACTCTTTTATTATGTGATATTTAAATATATTTAGGTAGTAAGCAGTTGACGAGAGCGCAGCAAAATAAATTGGTACCCTTTTAATCTGCTCCAATCAATATTCTTTCGCTATTCATAAATAGACATAGATGTTATTATCGCAAGAGCCTCATCTGCTTAACTGTAGTCACTGTCAAAAGTACTGACTCATTTAACGATATGATTTGTTTGTAGAATTATTGCTAAGATCTTGACATCATATTCACTTTGTGAATTCAACGCTTCGCTGATAACTTATTCTTACGAACAATGTCAAAAGTGACGGTATGATTCTTGAAGAGGTCCATTTTCGAATAACTGTTAAATATTTCAACACTTCATTTAAGATATTTGTGTGAAGTTCAATTGGATAAGTTTGTTAAAAGGTTCAATTATTTCATTCTCGTCAAATAGCCATTAATCTATACTATAAATCATAAAGCGTTAAACTAATGAAATAAAATGAAATAATGATTTCTGCTTATATACTACTCTATACAAATTATGATGTCGTAAGTTACACATATATCATATCAATTGAACCATGGTCCTTAGTAAGTACAAATGTATAATATTATTGGTGCATGAACAGATGGATCAGAAGTGATATATATATATATATATATATTCATATAGCAAAACAGGTGATAAACTGGTAAATTGAAGATTAAAACCGTTTTATTCGCTACATGTCTATATTTTTTTCCATTTCGTATACACTAATTTTATGAGTTACTAAATGAACGTTTATATAGTGTATTTGTTTATATACATGTGTTTCATGTGTGTACATTTTTAATTCCTTTTCCCACTAAACCAAAGTGTGTTTCCAATATATGTATATAAGTATATCTTATGTTTATCATTACGAAAGAAGACTAAAATGTACGCGCTAATCTTGATTATAAATACATTAGATATTGGTAG